TGGATCTGAGACTGCATTGCAATGGCCCATGCAGTCTTGTGTCACAGCAAAATGGTTTGCCTGTAAAGTTGAGTCATATTCTTTGATATTTTTGCCACCACACCACTACTCTCCTAGAACTGGATTGGAAAGAAACCAAAGAAAGTATTCTGATAATATATCTTAGCAATGGCTTTGCTGCATCCGAGTGACACAAAGGAAAAATAGATGGAAGGGCTGCTGCATTCGCCATGCAGCCAAATACAACAAATTCCAAAATACACATCATGACAATAACTTTATTATCCTAACTGCAAAATACACTACGTGTAAAATGTGTCCTGCCTTTTTTATTGGCCTGATAAAGGTATTACTGTGATATGTATATTCCTGTACAAGGGAAAATATTTTCTTCTCTTCCCCAGCATTTGTCTGTGCTACTTACACAGTGAAAAATAGCCTTGTTTCCTGGGCTATGGTCAACAGGTCAGATTTGATTAACTTACCTTATTTCCCATTGATTTGCTTGAACAGTGCTTCGAAGGTTACTTGATGTGTTGCGTCTGAAATTGTCCTTTTCCTATTTTCTTTGACTCACACAAATAGATTATTTGTGTCTGCACAGTGCATTGTTTGGAATTTTTAAAGCTATTAGTGTGTGTGTGTGTGTGTGTGTGTGGCCCTGCCATTCTTAGGGCCTCATCCCCTTGCTTCTTGGTAAATTATTTAGTTCCTTTTTATCCATTGCTGCAGGAGCACTGAAGGAGGATCATGAGGTTTAGCAATATGTGGCAGTGGGCTTGACAGTCAGGGAAGCTACTTCATATTTGATTGTGTTTTTTCTGCATAGCAGAGGGTTGGACTAGATGACCCGTGTGGTCTCTACCAATTCTATTATTCTATATTGAGGGGTTTTATCCATGATCTTTTTTTTGTTCAAGGTATGACTTGCTTCATTTTTTTGTTGTCAGATGTTCTTGATTTAGATTGTTGTGCAACTTTGGTTCGATAGTTTTCAGCGTTTCTGCAGTTTTTGGATTGATACATATTTCCTCTGAGTGTTTTGGACTGCTGTTTGCCTTGGGTCTGTTTGACGTCATCATACAGGGTGAATTTAGCATCCTAGGACACTTTCACCCCATTTAATGGACAGTGTCCCATGTTGGACTGTTTCCTGACTTGCACCATCTCTTTCCAACAGGAAAATGTTTTCCAATTGGAGAGCCTATATTGGCACACTGTTTCAGTCCTGTGTCACGTTCTCTGCATTAACTTATGGATGCCTGGATCAATGGACCTACTGTGTAGAGCAGCGTTTCTCAACTCAGGCGTTGTGAGGGGGTGATGGTCAGAGGAACCCCTTTGGCAGAGAATGCTGAAGATCTCTCTGCTTGTCCTTCTCTTCCTTTTTGGAAACAGATGGCAAATCCTCTCCGCTGGCCTCTCAACCAAGGGAAGGGCTGTTTCTGAGACTCCAAGCAGGAAGAAGAGAGCAGGCGTGTCAAGGTCTATTTTCCCCAAACTTCACCAGTGTTCAAAATTGAGTATTTGTGCCAAGTTTAGTTCAGATCCATCATTGTTTGAGTCTACATTGCTCTCTGGATGTAGGTGAACTACAACTCCAAAACTCAAGGTCAATGCCCGCCAAATACTTCCAGTTTTTTCTCTTGGTCATGGGAGTTCTGTGTGGGAAGTTTGGCCCAATTCTTTCGTTGGTGGGGTTAAGAATGCTCTTTGATTGTAGGTGTACTATAAATCCCAGGAACTACAATCCCCAATTGACAAAATCAATCCCCCCAACCCCATCAGTATTCAAATGTGGGTGTACTGGGTATTTGTGCCAAATTAGGTCCAGTGAATGAAAATACATCCTGCCTATCAGATATTTACATTAGGAATAATAACAGTAGCAAAATTACAATTGTGAAGTAACAACAAATATAATTTTATGGTTGGGAGTCATCACAACACAAGGAACTGTATTAAGAGGTAGTGGCATTATGAAGGTTGAGGACCACTGGTGTAGAGGATGCGTCGACCAGTTCCTCCCATTAATTCTTGAGTTCCCTGCCTGCTCAAGTCACCCCGCAGCCTTCTTCATCAAAAGATTCTGATCCTTCTTCCTCATCTAAGAGCAGTGCAAGAGCAGAAGAGATGTGCTTTCACAATCTCTTCCTCCAGATGTCAGAGTAAAGAATTTCGACAGGGAGGAAAAAGGCCCGAAACACATCTGTTTTCCTTAAATAGATAGCCTTATTGGGTTCATGTGATTTATCCATGCATTACTTCAGCTGATGATCTGAGCTTGGGGGAAATGTGGTGAAAAACATGGCTCCATCATAAAGATTGGATTTAATAAGTCATTTCCTCAATCTTCCCCACTCTCCTAGATTCCACATTTACAAATTGGTCATGAGTGGGTAGCAATCAACACTAAGCCATTTTTCCACAAGAGCTAATCCTTAGCACTCCCTCCCTTTTCTCCCTTTAAATGAGTACAAATCAAATCAGCTGTACTTAGGAAGCTTCAAGGGCAGGCGACCTGGTGTTTGCTAGCGGTTTTAAAACTGCAACTCCCAGTCTATGCTGACTAGGCTTTGTGGAAACTACAGTTCAAAACATTTTGCTCCATCCTTGGTCCTCATGTGAAACAAAAATTATGCTTAACCATGGTCACATTAAGTCAAATGTATCTTTGGGTTCCATCCATCCTAAAATTTAATTAAGTTCATTGAGACAGAAATCTCATCTTTTTTTGTGCCATAATTACTGATTGTTTGTTGTTGTTATGTGCCTCCCAGTCAACTCTCACTTATGGATACCTTACCCTAGAATTTGGTTGGTCAATTTATTTCTTTAGAGGGTGTTTGACATGACCTTTCTGTGAAGCTCTAAGAGGATTGTGACTCGCTCAAGGTCACTGAATGGGTTTCTATGTCTGCGTTGGGTATTCAAAGCCTGGTGTTTCAGAGCTCTTGCTCCCTACTCAAATGACTATGCTGCACTTGTGCTCACTAACACTTACTGAGGATACTATAAAATAAAAGTGCCCATAGCTTAGAAGTCCAGACTGAGAAGTGTCTTTGGGCCCTTCCACACAGCCCTATATCCCAGAATATCAAGACAGAAAATCCCACATTATCTGAATGTGGACTCAGGTAGCCCAGGGCCCGTCTAAACAGTACTTTTATCCCAGGAGCTTCTGCAGCAAACAGGAGGGTGGCCAGACGCTGTTCCCTATAAATGCAGAAGCAATCGCTACAAAAGGCAAAAAAGCGAGATTTCCAAGTGTGGGAATATTGCGGTTTTGATGCAAAATGCAGATCTTCACAGACGTATGTCCCTGCAACCAGAAATCACTCTACTGTTTGTTCCTGGTTGGTTGGTTCCTAAAAAGAAGGTGGCAGTTGAGTAGAACGTGAAAACTTTGTTTGTGTGGCAGATACTTCATGAAACATCTGGAGGGCATAGTTTCTCTGGACAGGACAAAGAACTGAACTCATATCTGCATCTTGAGTTTGTTTTAAAAAGCTGCCGAAGTCCCGTGGTGGCCATCTTGGGATCCTCTAAAGCATCAAGTCTGGACAATGGAGGCAGAAATCCCGGGACCAACAGGTCTGCATGTGGACCTCTTCTGAAGTCCCGGGACTTTTTGTCCCTGTTTAAAACCCTATTTTTGCCCCTGTTTTGAGTGCATTGTGTTGGAAACCATCCTGAGTCCTTTCAAGGACATAGGGCAGTATACAAATAAATTATTATTATTATTATTATTATTATTATTATTATTATTATGTTGAATTAGTTGAGACTCTTATGAGATATTCATTGAAAAATTATAGCAAAATCTGCTATAAATTAGTGCAGTTCAATACCCTTTTCTCATGTTTTTATGACAGAACCCATTAGGAAATGACATTTATAACCCAGGAACAAAAATTGTGTTCCACGGTGATATTGATTTAATTTGAATTCCTGGGTTTTGAAAGGAATGAGTGGCAGGCCCTTATTTGTGTTCATGCCCTTGGACTTGAACTGATAGAAACACTGCGAACACTGGCCCCATTTACACTGCCTTATGATGTGGTTTGAAAATGCATTAAATGACAGGTCAAATGGGGCTACCGAGGGGGAGGGGTGTCTCCTTCTGTGGATGGGAGCCCCACGTATATGTAGATAGAGAGTGAGGCCCGTTCCACACAGCTGAATAAAATCCCACATTTTCCGCTTTGAAATGGAATATATAGTGGTGTGGACTCAGGGATTTTCCGCCTTGATATTCTGGGATATAGGGCTTTCTGGAAGGGCCCTAAGAAACCAGAGCTGATGGGGTCCATCCAATGCAATTTTCTGAATTGGCACCCCAAATAACCCCAGGAACAGGCCTAAAAACTAAGACTCTTGAGGACCCTTCCACACAGCCCTATATCCCAGAATATCAAGGCAGAAAATCCCACAATATCTGCTTTGAATTAGATTATCTGAGTCCACACTCGGATTTTCTGCCTTGATATTCTGAGTTATAGGGCTGTATGAAAGGGCCCTCAAATAACCCAGTTCAAAGCAGATAGTGTGCCTTGGTATTCTAGGAGCCCTTCCACACAGCCATATATCCCAGAATAACAAGGCAGAAAATCCCACATTATCTGAGTGTGGACTCTGATAATCCAGCTCAAAGCAGATATTGTGGGATTTTCTGCCTCGATATTCTGGGATATAGGACTGTGGCAGTGCTCTGGGTTGTATGACTATGTGGAAGAGCCCTGAGCTCCCAGCCTATCAATCAGGTGGGTCAAAGCTTTCCTGGGAAGCGTGTGGAGTTGTGGACAATGCCTGTCGCAATCCCAGTCCTGGCCTGCAGGGGGCGCCGTGCCCTGCCAAGGAGCGGAGTCCCGGCCCCGCCCGTCTCCACCTTCCCTCGTGGCCCCGCCCAAGAGAGCCCCTCCCTCCCTGTCGGAGAAAGGAGGAGGAGGAGGAGGGGCGGGGCCTGGAGGGAGGGAGGGAGGGAGGGATCTGCGCGGCGAGGAAGAGCGAGCGAGCGGCGAGGGCGGCAGGGATGTTGTTGCCGGCGGCGGCGCGGGCGGACTACCTGGCGCCCTGGTGGGCCACCTGGCTGCACGGCTTGCCCCACCTCAGCCTGAGCCTGCAGCCCGTGCCCAGCGCCTTCCGGCCCAGGGATGCCGACTACCAGCAGGTGCGCCCCCCCTTCTCCCCCCTCCCTCCCTTCCTTTCTTCCCCCCGCGCTCGCCCTCATTGCAGCCCCCTCCATCGCCCACCTACCCAGCCACCCACCCGCCCTGCCTTCCTCCTCCTCCATGCTCCACATCGCCCCCCCCCCGCTCCCCACCAGTCTTCCACATCTGGGGGTGAATCCACATTGTAGAAGGAATGCAACGTGACACCGCTGTGGCTCCGTGCGATGGAATCATGGGAGCCGTAGTTCAGCTTTTGCTTGAGACTGAGCTGTGGGGTGGGGAGATGTGCCAAGCACTGGGTAGTGCAGGCAGCTGAGGGGGGAAAGGAAAGGGCCTGAGGCTGTTAGGAATGGTGGGAGTTGAAGCCCAAAACACCTGGAGGGCCCAAGCTTACCCTTGCCAGGGTAGTGGCTTCTCTTAGGGTTAAGGCAGTTGGACCCCACACTGGTTGCCATGGCTCAGGGCGATGGAAGCATGGGACTTGAGGTTTTGCAAGCCCTTTAGCTGCCTCTGCCAAAGAGTGCTGGTGCCTCTAGACTTGGAAGATACCACAGAGGCCATCTAGCCCAACCCCTGGCCATGCAGGAAAAGCACACTCGCTAGACGATAATAGCATTGAGCCATGGAAACTGAAGTGGTGCCAAAATTCATTCTGGAGTGTATTTACTTATTTATTTTATTTACAGTATTTGTAGACCACTTTTCTCACCCCTGAGGGGGACTCAAAGCAGTTTACATAGAAATAGTGGCAAAATTCAATGTCTTACAAAAAATACACCAAATTACAATCAGATGCAGATGCATTGTGGGGCTTTGCTTTCAAGGGGGTCTCCTTGGCCTTAAGGCAGAGTGAGCTTCTGTGACTCAGCACTTCATCTACTCCAGGCATGGGCAAACATGGGCCCTCCAGGTGTTTTGGACTTCAACTCTCACCATTCCTAACAGCCTCACCCCCTCCTTCCTTTCCTTTCTGCTTATGCAGCTGAGGAAGAAAGGGGAAAGGCCTGAGGCTGTTAGGGGTTATGGGAGTTGAAGTCCAAAACACATGGAGGGCCCAAGTTTGCCCATGCCTGATCTACCCCACTGCCTGTCTGGGCTTTCCATATCGTCCTCCGTACCTCAACAGTAGAGGCCTCTTCCATCAGAACAAGGGTTCCAAACTACATCTTTCCCATTGCCCCCCCTCCCCCTAGAATAGAGGCAGTTTGACTCCACTTTAACTGCCCTAGCTCAATGCAATGGGATCCTGGGGGTTGTAGTTTGGTGGAGCATTCACACTTTTGGCCAGAGAATGCTGAAGACCGACAATGGCAGCTCCAATGATTACGTAGCATTGGGTCATGACAGCTGAAGTGGTGTCACAGTGCATTCATTCTGTGGTGTAGGTCAAGGTTTCCCCAACTCTTTCCATGGTGTTTGGACTTCAGCTCCCAGAATCCCTGGTCATTAGCCAAAGCAACACGGGTGTCTAGGAGTTGAAGACCAAGTATTCAAGATAGGCATTTGCTTGATCTTTGTCATCAATCTTGATCTCTGGAGCATGGAGATTAAAATGGGCAGAACTTTATCATCTATATAACACAATGTAACAACAAAAAAGTTCTTGGTGTTTCGGTTTTTAGGCCTGTTCCTGGGCTTATTTGGGGTGCTGATTCAGGAAATTGCATTGGATAGAAACTCATTATCTCTAGTTTCTTAGATATGGTCAAGCAGAGGGCAACTGGTAGATGGCATTTTTTTTTCTGTGTCAGGAGCAACTTGAGAAACTGCAAGTGGCTTCTAATGTGAGAGAATTTGCCGTCTGCAAGGACATTGCCCAGGGGGCGCCCAGATGTTTTTGATTTTTTTACCATCCTTGTGGGAGGCATCTATCACGTCCCCGCATGAGGAGTTGGAGCTGACAGAAGGAGTTCATCCTCACTCTCCCAGGATTCGAACCTGCGACCTGTTGGTCTTCAGTCCTGCCGGCACAGGGGTTTAACCCACTGCGCCATTGGGGGTTCCTATGGCATATATTACATATCAGATATGGCATATATTACATATCTGAAAAACTAAAGCTGATAGGGGGAAACTGGTGCTATTTTTGGAATTAGCAGGTCAACTGTACCCAGAAACAGGGCTAACATTTGAGGCACCAACATGTGTGTTGGCCATTGTAATCAGTATTTTAAAGGCATGGCATTTCAGTAGGATGACTTTGTGGAGCCCAGGGAAGGTTATATGTTAGCTTTTTCTTATCTGTGTGAAGGCAGATGTTTTTTTCCATTGGTTTTCTGAAACTTGACTCCTACCTTCATGAACCCTGTCTCACCTCAATGCCACAAAAGAAAAATCAGGAAGTTCTTCCTCTTATCTGCCTGTGAGATAGGCTAAGACTTATCTGTGGTTCAGATAACTCGACCCTGTATCTGTTCTCAAATTCCCTATATATTTGCTTACTGGTGTAAACCTCTGTGAGCAGTGATCCCATCAAACTCAGTTGGTTAGCCGCATTTTCAGAAATGTCATTGGCCGTTAAAGAAATGCAGCACGGTTCCCGGACATTGTGTGTATTCAAGAAACTGCAGATAACAACAAACCCTTTTAAAATGAAGGATTTCTGGCTTAAGAATATGCTAGAGACCTAGAAAATGCCTAGAGAGGACACCAATAATTGAAACCAAGCATCCCGGTGCTGCAATTTTAGGGATCATGCTGCATCATGTGTTTTCTGTTTTGTACTACTTCTGTGCATTTGCTTTCCTGTGTCGGTTGCTTCTGGAAAGCTCTTTCTCTGTGTTTCAGGATTGGATACTCTTCTGGAAAACACATATTGGGTAGACCTGTCTTAGTCTACACCTGAAGAAGTAGACGTAGGGTGCATCTATACAGGATAGAATTAAGGCAGTTTGACACAATTTTAACTGCTAAGGCACAATAACTCTACAAAAGCCTATGCCTTCAACTTCATTCTCTCAGTCTCTAAGTCACCACAAGAGCCTGTCTTAGGCTGTTTACCCAACTCCAAAGACTTTGTAGAACCAAATAAAGGGGGGGGGTATTTCTTGTGCTTTTTGTAGCTATTATGAATAAAATATTTCTTTCAGGTGGCTACATACTAGTTCAGCAAAGGAAAGGGAGATTACAGAATGTGGAAAGAGGCTATAGAAAGGGTGAGCAGGAGGGACAGCAGCTTTGCATCATGAGCCTTCTCCTAAACCTTAGATCTACTTACATCTTTGTCAGTGTGGACTTTTCTGTAGTCTGTCCTAATTTAGGAGTGCTTGTGTATACAGTTGTATGATCATGTGGGCAGGAAGTTGTATATGTTTTATGCAATACAGTGGTATATGATGGTTCTCTAAGAACCCAACATTCATGCTAGGAATCTAGTTCAGATACTTCCTTATGCAATTATAGTGCTTAGAAGGGTGAGAAATGTGTTTAGACTTTGTATAGACATTCACAATTATAGATGAATGGTTATTTATAAATGACTTGGCTGAAGGCAAAGAGGAGATGCTTATCATATAATATAGATGAATAGGTTTATTCCTTAATATCATTTCAGAAGCGCATGACTGTTCTTGTAGAGTTTGCTACTGTATTTCTATGTCTTTTGCACTTGAATTCACTCAGGAAATACAGTACATGTGTTGCGGAAGGTGACCAGAAACTATGTTCCAGTTAACAGAGAGTAGATGGTTGCAGTAAGGACTATTCCTTTCCAAGATTAGTTGGAGTCATGCTACCTTAACTGCGGCAGGAGATTTGTTGAGTCATCCATCTGGAAGTGAACTTGGAGGTTATTTAGTCCAGTCACTTGCTTATGCAGGGTCTGCAGTGCAGGAAGTAGGCATAATGCCATTGCCAAATGTCTTCCCGGTCTTGGCTGAAATGTCTCTAGGAAAGGAAAGCCTTCCAAACAGCCTCTATCCATGTTGAGCAACTTGCATGATTATACCCATGTATAAGTCTAGAAATTTTACTCCAAAAATAACTACAAGAAACCCCTCCAGTTCAACTTATCCATGGGTTAATGTGAGTACTGTATCTTAACTCTTATCAAGAAGAAGAACCATGACAGTCTGCAAACACTTAGAAACAAATGCAGTCATCACTAATAGTCAACATGGATTTATCAAAAACAAGTCATGCCAGACTAATCTGATCTCTTTCTTCGATAGAGCTACAAGCTGGGTAGATGCGGGGAATGCTGTGGATGTAGCGTACCTGGATTTCAGTAAGGCCTTCGACAAGGTCCCCCATGACCTTCTGGCAAGGAAACTAGTCCAATGTGGGCTAGGCAAAACTACGGTGAGATGGATCTGTAATTGGTTAAGTTGACGAACACAGAGAGTGCTCACTAATGCTTCCTCTTCATCTTGGAAAGAAGTGACAAGTGGAGTGCCGCAGGGTTCCGTCCTGGGCCCGGTCCTGTTCAACATCTTTATTAATGACTTAGATGAAGGGCTAGAAGGCATGATCATCAAGTTTGCAGACGACACCAAATTGGGAGGGATAGCCAATACTCCAGAGGACAGGAGCAGAATTCAAAACGATCTTGACAGATTAGAGAGATGGGCCGAAACTAACAAAATGAAGTTCAACAGTGACAAATGCAAGATACTCCACTTTGGCAGAAAAAATGAAATGCAAAGATACAGAATGGGGGACGCCTGGCTCGAGAGCAGTACGTGTGAAAAAGATCTTGGAGTCCTCGTGGACAACAAGTTAAACATGAGCCAACAATGTGATGTGGCGGCAAAAAAAGCCAATGGGATTTTGGCCTGCATCAATAGGAGCATAGTGTCTAGATCTAAGGAAGTAATGCTACCCCTCTATTCTGCTTTGGTTAGACCACATCTGGAATATTGTGTCCAATTCTGGGCACCACAATTAAGAGAGATATTGACAAGCTGGAATGTGTCCAGAGGAGGGCGACTAAAATGATCAAGGGTCTGGAGAAAAAGCCCTATGAGGAGCGGCTTAGGGAACTGGGCATGTTTAGCCTGAA